TGAAAGTCAAGCAGGAGGAAAGAAATGGAGGTTGCACCTAACAAGCACAATGAACATATCTGGGTGAAGGGCACACTTATAACCCTGACTCAGCATTACAAAAGTGAACCATACAGCCAAAAACATTTGCACCCCCATAATACTTTAAAATTAATAAAAGAAGTTTGATTTGGTCTTTATTTTAATATGTCCTGTCTTTTATATGTTTTTATATGACTGATTTCTCTCCTAGAATCTGTTTCATGCTTTATTTTATTTACCAAAACTTTAAGAATATTAAATAATTAATGATGAAAAGAGATTTTCTCTTATAAGTCCTGATTTTAAAGGAAGAACCTGTAGATTAGGTGTATACAGGTCATCTCTGGGTGACCTTCCCTTCTCAGAAAGATCCCTACATAAGTATGCATAATTTTTACATACATGAACAACAAATGTTTTTTTAAAAAGCCATTACTTTTCTATTCCTAATTAAAATATGATGACATTTTTGTTAATTTTATATGATATTTTATTCAGTTTATTTGTACTAACTTAATAATACTGGTATCCAATTATTAAGCTATAATTAAGTTCTTGGGGTGAAAACTTTGACTGAGATGGAGTATCTTTTACATGATTAATTTCAATTTGTTTATATTTTTATTTATAGTTTCCTTTTAATATACATTCAAAATGAGACAGCAGTTTCTTTTTAGAACCCTCAGTGTCTACTATATTTTTGCACATTTTTCTTTTTAAACTTTGTCATCTTATTATTTGATGTGCGAATTTTGAAAGTAGAATACCTGATATTTTAAACATCAATTTTAGAACCTGCTTTTTAAAATAGGAAGTTTAAACCATTTACATTTATAGTCAAAGCTTAGTTTGCTCTTAAATTTCTTCATTACTTTCTTCCTTTAAAAAAAAATCTGATTTTTTTCTGACTTTTGATGACTTAGAAAGTATAATAATCTATTTTACATACTATATATTATTTGCTTTGCCTATTTCTAACTCTAATATGAAATTACAACTTTTGACTATCCCTTGGGGTAAAAATATAGTTATATGACTTTTCCTTTGCAAGGGAGGAAGCTTTGCACAATCTTTGAAAACAATCAGTTTCTGATACCTTACATTATCATATACATATATATATAAAATATAAATCTTCAGGAATTACTTCTGGCATATATAATTGAGAAAGTTCTACAATATTTAACTGATTTCAAGGCTCATTCAACAGTATTTTTAGGTCATAATTTAAATTTTTTTATTGATACATACTAGATATACATATTTTGAGGGTACCTGGGATATTCTGGTATATATGTACAATGTATAATGATCAAATCAGAGCAACAGGGATACCCATCACCCCAGTTATCTTTCGTACTGGAAAAATTCCAAGTCTCTTCTAGCTATTTTGAAATATATAAGAAGTTATTATTCTCTGATTTCCCTACTTTACAATCAAATACTAGAACTTATTACTTTCCCTCTGATTTCACTATTTTACAATCAAATACTAGAACTTGTTGCTTTTATCTAACTGTATTTTTGTATCCTTTAACCAATTTTTCTTTATCTCACCTTCCCAGATCATAAATTTTCTGTTCTTAAATTCTTCATTTTGATTCACGTCCATAAATGGTAGTACATGTTCAACTGAGACATCTTCAATAGTTTTCATTTTTTGGTTTTATTTCTTTGGGGAGTCAACATTGGTAATAGTGCTCCGTTAACTCCCATTTGTTTACTGCTGCCCTCAGGAATGACTAACAAGTACCTAGTCCTTGTGTCATAATTTTTCCCTCTATATTTTTCCACTGTTTTTTGTTGTTGTTGTTTTTTTTTTTGAGACAGAGCCTTAAGCTGTCCCCCTGGGTAGAGTGCCGTGGCATTACAGCTCACAGCAACCTCCAACTCCTGGGCTCAAGCGAGTCTCCTGCCTCCGCCTCCCAAGTAGCTGGGACCACAGGCGCCCACCACAACGCCCGGCTATTTTTTGGTTGCAACCATCATTGTTGTTTGGCGGGTCCGGGCTGGATTCGAACCCGCCACCTTAGGTGTACGTGGCTGGCGCCTTAGCTGGTATAGGTGCCGAGCCTTTCCACTGTTTTTTGGATCTATTGTTTTAGAGAGAAGTCTGAAATGCATTAGATGTTTTTCTTTTTAGATGTTTACAAAATTTATTTTTCTCTTAAAAACAAAACGTTTCTAGGTATAGTTCTTATCTCACAAATTTTTCCCAGAATGCAAGATGGACTTATCTCTTTCTAGATCTAATTTTTTTTTTATTAAATGATAGCTGTATACATTAATGTAATCATGGGGTACTGTGTGGTGTTTTCATATACAATTTGAAATATTTTCATCAAACTGGTTAACTAGATCTTATTTTTAACCTCAGAAAGATTTCTTCTTTATGCCTTTGTTTCTACTTCAGTAGCATTTCTGGGATACTCGTTTGTAGTCAAATATCATACATCCTCATTATTCTTTCACTTTAGTTTTGGCCATTTCTTCTCATGGTGAAGTGCCTCAAATTTGTCTTCTCCATCACTGATGAGATTTTTCCCATGGTGCCAATTCTATTTTAGGCCTGAGGTATAGTTTTAAGGAAGCAACTGAAGAAACAACATGGCCTTAAAAATTGGAGAGGCTGTGTTCTTAAATCCCAGTTATCCTATTTTTGACTATATGACACAGGGCAAACTATTTAACATTTTTATTTATTTAATTTCTCATGTGCAATATAAGAGCCCAAAGCCCTGCATGATTACGATAAAATGAGAATTAGAAATAATATTTGTAAAGTTCTTACTACAGTGCGTTTTACACAATGGGAACATAATAAAATGAACCTATCATTATTGAGAATCTCTTGCTGTGGCTTTTTTCCTTGTTTAATTTTATTTCAGATTGTTTTCTTTTTAATTTCAACCTGTTCTGTGTATCAGACTCCCAGTTCTGTTTGAAAGAGGTCTTATCTATTCAAATTTTATTAAAATAGGTAATATCAAGTTGTGATTAAGAGAGCGGATTCTGCAGTCAGACTGCTAGTGTTTAAATCCTGGGTCACTGCTATGTAATTTTTGGCAAGTTACTCAACCTCCATGATCTAGATTCCTCATTTACAGAAATAAAAATCTTGTAATTTTGTTTGTATAAGTGAATAAATATATATATAGTTCTGAGAACAGTGCCTCAAAGATAGAAAGTACTCAGGCACCTATAAATGAAGGCAGGTATTCATCTTCTACTTCCTAAAGTTAATCACTTCAAAAACATTTTGTTTTCCTCTAAGTCCTCCAGAAATATTCCCCTTCTGTTGAGGTAGAAACTCTCTTCCTAAATATTTTTCCCTAGCATACTTATTTCCAAAAGAAAAGAAGCCTATTCAGGCCTGATGTTTATCAAGAGAAGCTGGGTAAATTATACCTAGCCACTTCACACTTGTGTGCCTCCCAACATCTAAGCTGGACTTTAGGTAAATGGACATAGAACCTTTGCTCATACACTGGTTATCCATTTAATCTAGAATTCCTGGCCTAAAATGCATCTTGCTCAGGGCTCACAATCCCAGTTCTCTAACAATGAGAGAAAATATGAGATTCTTTGATCAACTTAGACTAGGCATCCTCAAACTATGGCCCGCGGGCCACATGCAGCCCACCGAGGACATTTATCCGGCCTGCCAGGTGTTTTTGCTGCCACTGCCTGTCCTGCTTAGCAGCCAACTCATCCAGGGGCCTGTAATCCAGCCCTCCAATGGTCTGAGGGACAGTGAACTGGCCCCCGTTTAAAAAGTTTGAGGACCCCTGACTCGGACTATAAAAATACTCTGCTGACAACTGTTTTCAGGGTTCTGTCCAATGTAATCCACTCTGAGGGGAGGGCATATAGTGATATGTAAGGTTCCAACCTCCACATGACACTATTCCCCACCTTACTGTGTACTAGTACCAGCAGAAAAAGCAATAGTCTACTTAAAGACAGCATTCATTAAGGGAGATCTAACCAGTCCAATTCTGCCGCAGTTCTACATTGGCATGCACTAGCATACTGGTATACTATGAATTCTCACATGTGTAAGGCTGGATTCTGGCCAATGATAGTACTTATTTCTGCCTTGCTTCAAAATACCTACTGCTTTGTTGATGGCTGCCAGAGAGAATATTAAAATGAATAAGTCTCATGAAAAAATAAAGAAAGGGGTAAAACTTGCTATTAGCAAAATGCAGAATGTAAAACACATCATAAAACTCAGGCTAAAGAAATACTATTTTTAGTACCATTTATCAGGATACACAAGAACTGAGGTTTTTTTTTGTGTGTGTGTATGTGTGTGTGTGTGAGTAAGGACACAAGAGATTATGGTCAAAGGAGTAAAAAAAAGAACAGAAGTAGTGAGATAAGTACAGTGAATAGTTCATCAACTGTGGATGCTATTTCAGACTCTTTATGATTTACCATGGGCATCAGGTTTAGTTGGTTGCTGGTTTGTATAGTATTGCTTTAGGTTCTACATTTTTAATCTCTTCTAGTGTGCTGCCAAAAATTTTATTATTTTTAAGTACACCTCAAGCACAAAAGGGTAGTTATTGCCTCAAGGCCATTGATTTCTCCTAGTTCTACTGGGTATGATCATATAACAAGTCTAAATAAAGACAAGCCACTGAATACTTATGGAGAGATATTTCTTCCTAAGTTCTTCACAACTGTGAGTTAAAATTTTGTATTTTCTTCAAAATTATGTATCTTGGCTAATTTTGACTTTACTCATTACCCCTGATAATTCTGACCAGTGTGTCTATGTTCTTTGTGAAGGCTGCACGCAAGACTGAACTCAATACTCCAAGAGTGATGTTGATTCTAATGTAAACTTTTTTTTACCATGTATGATTGACTATGACACAGGTTTTTAATTTCTAAAATTCTCTACAATTTCAACAATGAAAGTCGTATTTTATGCAAAACATTGCCAAATCATCAAATGATAAATTACTCACTGAGATGTTTTCTCTAGATTTGACAAGTTTTTTCTTCAGTTTTTTTCTTTCATGTATTAGGTCATTGTGCATCTTTAGTAGTTCTTCAAAGCGAACTTTGGTTTTTACTTTTGCTTCACTTTCAGCTAAAAAGATAAACACATATCATTTTCTAAACAATTCTTTTATAACATATACCTAAATTACTGTTATTTTAAGGAAAATACTTCCATGAGTTCTCTAGTTACATTAGAACCATTCTCTCCTTAAAATACTTTTTCTTTTGACTGTGGTGATAACACACTCACCCGTATCCCTCTTAGCTTTTAACCACTCCTGATGAAAGTCTCCTTTGTTAACATTTTACTTCCCATGTACAATAGTATCTACTGCTGTTAGTTATGTGTCCTATGGCTTTAGACAAGTTACTTAACATCTCTAAAATTCATTTTCCTTGTCTGTAAAATGACAATAGCCCCATGTCAAAGATATTTTACAAGAAAAATGGCTAACTGCCTGCCTTGCAATCAGCATTCAACAAATATTAACAATTGTTTCTTCCTTTAAAACACAAATCAGATCATGTTATGCCCCTACTAACACCCTGCAAGTTTCCCATTTCACTTAGGATAAAATAAGTCCTTCAAATTCTCTGCAGGGTTCTGCAATTCCTGACCTGACTATCTTTACAGTTTCAAATCAAGACAAATACCCTCTTAGATTCCAACATTCTAGCCATACTTTCCTTCTTGTAGCTCCACTATCAGAGAAAGCTCCTTCCCAGGTGAAGCTGATTCTACCTAGAGCAAGGATCCCCTAATTCCTCCCTTGGCTGATGTTAAGCTGCTTAAATGTTGCCTCTAAAATGGAACATTTCCTGATGACTTCATCTAAGTTTTCCTTTTCTCACACAGCAGGCTGTTGTCTCTCTTCATAGCACTTAACGCAAATGGAAACTGTACAGTTATGTTTTCATCTATATAAATATATTGTCCCACTATACTTCAAGTGCATAACTACATCCCTGGCTACTACCATGAGGTCTTGTATAGAGTAAAAACTCAATAGACATGTCTTAAATGAATAAATGCTGACTGAATGAATATTACAGAGCAAGTGCTGGCAAATTATGGCCTGCAGGCACCTGTGTTAGTAAATGAAGTTTTACTGAAATTAAACATGCCCATTTGGTTAATAATTGTTATGACTGCTTTCATGCTTTAATGACAGAGTTGAGTAGATGTAGCAGAGACCAAGCCTGAAATATTTACTACCTGGACTTTCAAGAAAAGTTTGCCGATGGCTGCCTGAGAGTAAAACATCTAATGTTGATGATAAAGAATAAAACCTAACCATATGTTATAATCATTATTTACCTGTTCAGTTGAGTCCCAAACTGCCATCCACTGAAGACATACTAACCTTAATCACCAACATAAAATAGAAAATTAAATATAAAACTAACAAATATTTCTCAATGTAGTATTTGGTCAATGGCATCTCTTTATTCCTTAATCTGTTAAAGAACCCCTTAAAATAAACCAAACAAAAATATGTGTATAAAATATGAAGTTTATACATAAACTTTACAAAAGTCTTACCAGTGGGCATATCTCAGCTTGATGGAGAACACAGACAATGTAAAGCATTGACTCAGTCAAGATCCTATTAAAACAAGAGGATTTATTAGTAATACAGAATCCCCAAATAAAAATATTCTCTATGCAAGATTATGCCATTATATGTCCACTACTTCATTGGGTTTATACCAATAAAGCTATATGCCCTTATCCCAATTTTATGCAAATGACTTTTGAGTATACTTCAATCAATTTAGGGTCCTGAAATCAAGTGAAGCAAACTGGATCATACTGGAATATCTATAGACTTGAAATTAAAAGTAAAAAAAAAAAATTTTAAGGTGGCAAACATCTAATTTGTTATTTTAATAAACTTTAAGAGTGTTTTAATAAATTAATGAACGTTTCAATGTGATTTTAAGAAACCAATTTGCATCTCAGGATTGATTTTCCTAAGAGCATACTTTATTACATTAATTAAAGTATGCTCTGGGTAGCATCCTCACAGATAATGAATTCACATATCTTTGTATCTGCCACTGAAAATTCTGCTACAACAGAGAAGGTTAACACAAGCATTTGTACCATCTTTCTCAAATAAATATGAGAAAGGTATATAATGTTGTGTCAGAGCTACTCAAAACCATGGAAATTCCTGAATTGCCAATTTTATTTAAAAACAGAAGCATGTGTCTAAAACAAAGATATTAATCACCATATTAGGTCACAATATACATAAATTTTTAAGAATAAAATGCAAGACCGGTTCACTTTCAAACACACTCTGTGCTCCAGCCATGTAAAACTACCTGCAGGCCCTCAAATGTACCAAACTCTCTTGCTGTTGTATCATTTGTATTATTACACATACACCCCTCCCACCAGAAAAATGCTTTCCCTCCTTTGTCATTCTAGCAAACTCCTCATTGATCTTAGACAAATAGTACCCCGGAGGCAGTGAGAGGGAACACTTTCAGCTAAAGGGAGAGTAAGCATTATACTTCATGCTCCTGGAGTCCCTTGATGTTCATACCTCCCTCTACTTCAACCCTGAATTTTCCTAGTAAAACCCCACAACACTACTAGCTTTTGGAGCGCCAGGCCTATGCTCTCTTTATCTATGTAACCCCATTTTTAAAGGTAGCAATAATAGCTGGAGAGTCAAGAAGTCTCAGGCTTGACCTCTTGTTCTGTCACTTACTAGTGTGTGTGGCCTTGGGCGAGCTACTTAATTTCACTAAGCCTGTTTTTTTCTTGCCTCAGAAATCAAAATGGCACCTACTTTATTGTAGAAGGAAAGAAAATAAGAAAAGCAAATTAAGCAGCACATTGAACATGCTCAATAAAATAACTTTATGTCCCTTATTACTGTATTAAGAATAAGTAAATAACTATATAATAAATAAAACACATAATTACTTATATGTGTACATTTATTAGTAACAGTTACTTGTTAAATTATGCATTAGCACAATTGAATAAACACTAATATTATTTAATGGTAATATAGCTAATACATTACAGAAATAATCCTCTCTAAATGTTAACATATACTGCAGCAAACAATATTATAGAATTAATGACTAACTTTGATTAGTAACAGTATCTGCAAAAATTAAGGGCAAACTTAAAACATTCCTGAATCTTATATATACTACCATTACTTTAAAACTTCTCTCTCACACAAACCCCTTGACAGGAGCTTCTAAGAGATAATATGTAGGAAAATTAACTGGATTTCATATCATTTTATCCTTCCCTGATCACCTGATTATCAGCCAAAATCTCACTAAAGATCAAGGGCAGAAAAAGCTAAGGGGGTTGCATATTTCACTCGTTTACTGAATTTTATACTAAGGGAAAACAGAGGCAAACAAAAATCCTGTATATGTATTCAATTTATATAAATGAACAAGATTTATAAACAAACAAGATTCTTCATAAACAAAAAAGATTTTAAATTCATAAATATTATTTTTCATAAACAAGTTTCCAAACATGATTTAATAACGCTTTTGGAATTTGAATTTCTTTCCATTTTTAAAAAAAATTTCCCGGAGTCCTCAAAACAAGCAATCTTCTTATTGAAAGCTGAAACAGTAACGGCATCGTTAACGCAACAGGTGAAAAAAACTTGTTAGCATCTCTTTCTCAAAATAAAGCCATATTTTCACAGTAATGTTGAAATACAGTGCAACCATTTGATAAGAATTCCCTAATAGTCTACAACTTTTTTCAATTTTTAGTCATGTCGAAACAACTCTATTGACACTTAAAAATATTACCTATCTATCACCCTTTCTCAGATGGAATTAAGAAAGCTTTTGACAGGTTCAAGATTCAGCACCACGTTGACATTCTAAAAGGAAATTAACACACTGAATACGCCCGGGATCTAGCAGCTTTTTAAACCAGGGTCGAGAATACGAAAGGCAAAGATAAAAGTCTGTTGAAGTGCCATGCTCAATACTCCGGAGACAAGGAGACCAGAGAAGAGAGCAGATTAAGTACACGGAGGTAGCTCAAAATCCTCTCACAGCCCACCTGGCAACCGGGCCGTTCAGCCTGCGGTGTCGCACTGCGACCCCCGAGCTCTCGGACTGGAGCAGACCCCGCACCGCTGCCCCTCCAGACGGCCGAGACAGGCCGAGCGCCCGGGCCCTACAAAGTACTCACAAAGAGGAGTGCGCAGAGGTGTCTGTCGCGCCCCAGCAGACAGCCGGCGCGGTACGAATCGGCTCCCTGCGCCACAGGACGCGCTGGGAATCAGGCGACAGCTCAGCCCGCCCATCCGCCCGCGACCCTGGCTCTCCAAGCGCGCCGGGTGCCGCAGTGCGGGCAGCGCGCCGCCCGCTGACGTCACGCCTGCCTACGCTACTGTTCCCATGACGACCCAGGCGGCGGGCGCTGCGGCCCTCAACCTCCGCCCCGCCCCGCCCCGCGCTGCGCCGCTCGCGCCCCCACCCCGGAGGTGCCGGCCCTCAGCCTGCCGCGGGCGCGCTCGCTCCAAGGGCTCACGCCTCCGCGACTCGGGAAGGCGGAAAGAATCTCCGCCACCCGGAGCGTGAGGGGAGCGCGAGTGCGCGGGTGCCCGTCGGAGCTGGGTTCTTCCCCGCGCTCCCCTCCCAGACTGGGCTGGCGCCTCACAACTAGCAGGCAGTGCCCGGGAGGAACTGAGGGGGCGAAGCGAGGCGAGGAGACTGCGGTGGAACCGCCAAGAATGTGAAAATGAATGAGGCAAAGGAACAGATTTGCCGCGCGCCCACAAAGTAAAACATGGCGTGAAGCGTGGAGATCGTAGAGACAAATCAAAACAGACAAAATCTTAAGAATTATCCACAGTTCGTCTAGAGCTGAGTGTTCAACTATATGTTGAAAACAAAACACAGGTAAAACCTCATCTTATTCTACACTTAATGTCCCCCTCCACGTTTCTAATTCTGCCACAGGCGCCATCTTCAACTCTGAGGCCCCGGGGATGAGGAAATCCCAGAGGCGCTACTCCGGGACTATTGAAGCGGAGGCCATTTTTGCAGTTGGAGCCGCGCGTAGCCTGTTGCTTCTCGTGTGCAGTGAAAGTGCTGCGTGGAGGCCGGCGTTTCCCTTCTCGCGGCATCTCTGCACCTTGCGAAGCGTGTTTCAGGTTTCTCCAAATCCTGTGAGAAGTCAATGAGAATGATCACTAATCCAGCGGGTGCCAAACGGAGTTCACTTCCACTCTAAACCACCTCCCCTTCTGGATTTCTGTCTTGCTTTCAGCCACCACCATCCTCACAGAGTGTTAGCAGGATGCATGTCAAGGGGGCCCAGCCTTTTGGGTTCCCTAGGCCACGCTGGAGGAAGGAGAATTGTCTTGGGCGACACATTAAATACACACTAAGGAAAGCTGATGGGCAAGAAAAGTGTCTGTCTATAATTTTTGTGACATTGCCACCACAGGATAAGCAAAAATATCCTCACAACAATTCTAGTCTTGCAGCTACGGTTCAGAGAGTCTTGAAATCGTTGAGCAGATCCCAAGTTTGTGATCGCTAATATAGAAAATGTACATACCTAAATAATAGAAGTCTTTGGTGGCCTTTTTTGATTTTTTTTTTTTAAGACAGAGTCTCATTATGTCGCCCTGAGTAGAGTACTGTAGCATCATAGCTCACAGCAACCTCAAACTCTTGGGCTTCAACGATTCTCTTGCCTCAGTTTCCCAAGTAGCTGGGACTACAGGCGCCCTCCACAACTCCCAGCTATTTTTTGGTTGTAGTTGTCGTTGTTTGGCTGGCCCAAGCCAAGTTCAAACCAGCCAGCCCTGGTGTATGTGGCTGGTGCCATAGCCACTGAGCTACAGGCGCCCCAAGCCTTTTGTTGATATGAATAGTGGACAACATAAAACTAGTGGGATATTTGACTTTGTATTTGAGAAACTAATACTTGATAGAAGGAAGTAGTTGCAATTGTCAGTGAGTTCTCTAGGTGCTCATTAGATGTTTGGTTCTAATTTTTGTGTGTTTCTTTCTTGAAAATAGTTACTTGCAAATGTAGGTGCTGCCAAAATTGGTGACTTGACTGAGGCAAGGGAAATGAGGGGAAGTAGGACCTATAAAAGTCAATAAAGAGACATGAAATTTTCGTTTTACTTGAATGTCATATTGTAGCTCTATGCATTCCATTTGAAAATTGGCAGTTACGGCTCGGCGCCAGCCACATACACCTAAGGTGGCGGGTTCGAATCCCCAGCCCAGGCCCGCCAAACAACAATGATGGCTGCAACCAAAAAATGGTCAGGCGCTGTGGAGGGGGCCTGTAGTCCCAGCTACTTGGGAGGCTGAGGCAGGAGACTCGCTTGAGCCCAGGAGTTGGAGGTTGCTGTGAGCGTGATGCCATGGCACTCTACCCAGGGGGATAGCTTGAGGCTCCGTCTCAAAAAAAAAAAGAAAGAAAAAAGAAAATTGGCAGTTAACATTTATGTCAACTGCAAATGGAGTCACAAATGCACCAAAATATTTATTATTTTCCCCAAAATCTTGAAATCTGTTTTCAAATTCTTAAATCAAAAAGTAAGACTGGCACTTTGGGAGACCACGGCAGGAGGATTGCTTGAGCTCAGGAGTTTGAAGCCAGACCTGATCTGTACTAAAAATAGAAAAATGAAGGCAAGAGGATGGGTTGGGCCTAAGAGCTTGCCTATGACTGTCAGCTATGACTCAACAGCACTCTACCCAGAGTGATGGAGAGAGACTGTCTGAAAAAAAAAAATTAATTAAAAAAAAAGCAAGGCTGCATATTTTTTGCTGTTCACAGGACTAGGTTTAGCCAACACACTGAAATGCATAAAATTCTTTGCCTTAATTTGAGCTTGCCATATTTTAGTTTCATCTGAAATGCTGTTATGGTTTGAAATATATTAATAAGTTGGTTTGCACCTTGAAGATCCATGTTTAACTCATTTAAATGAGCAGTTAAATACACTAAAAATGCTAAATTTGGCTTGGCACCTGTGGCTCAAGTGGCTAAGGCGCCAGCCACATACACCTAAGGTGGTGGGTTTGAACCCAGCCCAGGCCGCCAAACAACAATGACGGCTGCAACCAAAAAATAGCCAGGCGTTGTGGCGCGCGCCTGTGGTCCCAGCTACTTGGGAAGTGGAGGTAGGAGACTTGCTTGAGCCCAGGAGCTGGAGGTTGCTGTGAGCTGTGATGCCATAGCACTCTACCCAGAGGGACAGCTTGAGGCTCTGTCTCAAAAAAAAGAAAGAAAAAAATGCTAAATTTTTCAGCTACTTTTCATCATCAAATTCTGGCACAAATTTGGTTTTTTACCATAAATGACTTGATAACATGTTGCAAATCATGAAATCTTTTAACCATTTGGCCTCAATTTAGCCATCTTATTTCTTATTTCCAAAATGTAAATGATGTTGCCATAGTCAGAATCAGTACTTTTCAGGAATTATTGGAACTGCGGATGATTTGAATTTTTGGCCCTTTTAAGCTTTTGCACATAAACTTTCTTGATGTAGTACTCAGTGATACTTCATTCAATGTGAGTCTTGGGAGGCAATGCATCATCATCTATTAATTTTACAAGTCTTTTTCTTTTGCCTACTATTGCTGGTGCACTATCAATAACTATACCAGGTATGTTGACCATGGACAAAGAAAATTGCTGTAACATACTATTTACTACTTTGTATAGATCTCTTGATTTAGTTGTGTTTTTTTCATAGCACTAAAGAATCCACTTCTTTAGTGACATATTTGTTAGCACTACCTCTACATGTCATTACTACCTCTGTTTTAGTGAACACTATACTTCATTTTCCTCTACTTCAAAACCCTTTTCTTTTCTTTTTTTTTTTTTTTTTTTGAGACAGAGCTATCCTCCTGGGTAGAGTGCTATGGTATCACAGCTCACAGCAACCTCCAGCTCCTGGGCTCAAGCGAGTCTCCTGCCTTTGCCTCCCAAGTAGCTGGGACCACAGGGGCCCGCCACAACGCCTGGCTATTTTTTTTGGTACAGCCATCATTGTTGTTTGGTGGGCCCGGGCTGGATTCGAATCCACCACCTTAGATGTATGTGGCTGGTGCCTTAGCCACTTGAGCCATAGGCACTGAGCCCAAAATCCTTTTTCAACTGTTCCCTGATCCCCCACCGTACCCCTGCAAGCTATCGTGAAAGTTGATGTAAGAGATGATACATATCAGCCAGCATGTGGAATGTGTTCTGAAAATAATACCCAGCTATGAATGAGTAGGGAGTATTTTTTTGTAAATGTGGGTACTTAAATGGCAGCTGAGGACAGATAAAAAGTACATAAAACACCTATAATGCATAGCTCCTAGAAAGAGCTTGATACATGTCATTTGGTATTTGTTAAACAAATGTTCATGAAGTGCCAATGATTTCATACAGTGGTATGCTGAAGATACAGAAAATAAATGCAAATAAAAATGTAATTCAGAAAATGAGTTTCCAAAGCCTAAGAGAGTATAGCAGAAGCATTTTAAGGAGTCAAGTTAACCTGCTTAAGATTCAAAGGATAGGGAACACTTGGATTGAAACACACAGAAATAGGAGCGTACCAGGAGGAATTCTCAGGAAGCAGGGATAATATGAGTAAGGACTGAAGGGATGGATTGTTTTGAATCCACATAATTCAATATTGCATAAAATTGAAACAAGAAGGTAATAAGAGATGAAACTAGTCAGGGAGATGGAGCATCTTGTGTCCTAAGCAACAAAATTAGAGTTTCTCTTATAGATTTCCTTTGAAGAATTTTCAGGAGAATGGCATTATCAGGTTTGCATTTTTCGTAAGGTCATTCTGGTAGCAATGTGGAGAATAGAATTAGAAGCCAAAACTGGAGTTAGGGATGGTAAAGGGGCCATCTGGGGAAGTTAAAAAGGGAAATGGATATGCTTTAGTATAAGATGCATGTAGGATACATTATAATTCAGGGGTGTCTGACCCCCATACCATAAGCCTAATATATGCTAAAAGTAGAGGGTGAGAGTTTTAAGAGACACATAATATTTACAATCTCAAAAATATTTCCCCATCAAATATTTACTAGTTACAAACAGAAAAAAATAGAAATTTGATAGTGTAGAAAATTACCCCTAGTGATGAAATTTAAGATTATCAGTCAGTGCCACCTGGTAAAATGTGCTTAGACCACACTTCTGTGATATTCTTGCCAAAAGTTCACAATCTGAATTTAATTATGAGGAAAGATCACACCCTCCAAATTGAGGGAAACAATTCAAGTGTCAAGGTCATGAAAGTCAAAGGAACAAC